TATTGAATGAATTAATAAAAATCAGATGTGTGTATTAGAATTCTAATGTGATTTAACACATTTATAAGGTAAGAGTAAAATATATCATTATTTTCAATAGATGGAGAAAAGAATTTGAAGAAAAAGCAATATCCTTCCATGATAATAAAAATAGTGAAGTAAGAATAGAAGAAACCACCTTAACTCAAAACAGAGCATTTCAGAAGTAATCTATATTAAATGAAATGGTCAATGGTAAAATATTTTAAAACCATTCTCTTTAAACTGAAGAAAATATAACAGATAGCAACTGACACTACTTTCATTAGAATAACACAGTGTAGGTCTGAGCTATTGAGAATACATGAACAAGTCACAATTAGAGATAAAATTAGTTCCTGGTAGAGAATGCCAAGGAATATATAGATAATTTATTAGAGAAAACAATAGAATGTAGCAAATTTGCTTGAATGAAAATCGCTATAAAAATATAAATTGCATGCTTTTACAAAGGAAAATTTATTTGGAAAGTGTGATTTCTAAAAGATATTTTTAACAAGCTCATCAGATAAATACTGGAAGAGATCTGAAAGCATGCTATGGAAAAATCTATAACATTTTACTGAAGGGCGCAAAATAAGAACTAAAAATGGAGAAATATTCTCATTTTGAATAGACATACACGGCATCATAGATATGTCAATTTTCCTCAAATATCTTTATATATTGAAGGCAAGTACTTGGATTTTATTGTATTTGGCAGGCTGATTTTAAAATTTCTATGAAAGAGAAATGGAAAAAGAAGATTTGACTTGACAAATAAAAACAAAGTGTAGTACTTGCCTTACAAGACATATTATGGAACAATAGTAACTAAAATGATAAGGTTATGTAAAAGACAGAAAAACCATACCAATAAAACCCTTATCTATATGGAGATTTTTTTAGGACAGAGGAGGCATTGAATACTGTAAGACAAAGTGGCATTACAGGGAAAGAAGAGTGCAATTAAGTTAATTTTTCAGTTAATAATTCAGTTTAATTTTCAGTTAATAATTTCAGTGCTGAAATTATTGTATTCATATCAGAGAAACTAAAATTTGATTGTATCTCAAAGCATACTAAAAAATCATTCCAAAGTAACAAACCCTTAAGCCTGAAAGACAAAACGATTAAGTGTTTTGAAAACAATATAGGAAAACATCCTTATCATGTTGGAGGGTAAGTATTCTTTAAATAATATAATCACAGTACAAAAAAGAAAAGAGTGAGAAGTTCAACTACTTTAAATAAGATGATAATGGCTTAATATCCTGAAAATATAATGAACTCCCACAACTCAGCAACAAAAAGCACAAAATATAATTTAAAATGGGAAAATGACTTGCATAGACTTTCCTCAAAAAAGAAAACTAGAATTCATTACAAAGGAGTGTGTGTGTGCATGTGTGCAAGGTATGTGGAATGAAGGTGAACATGAAGAGGTAGAGAGAACTGGGTGGTGTACACTTGGCCTAAAAAGGTCAGGGATTAGCCATCATGAATTTCTCTCTTCTACTGTCTTGGTCTTTAAGGATTTGCAGTGCCCAGGGGTCAGAATGACACTAAAAATATTTGTTTAATGAGGCACCTTGGATATTGATCTCCAAGGGATATAGAGACTATAAAGAGTCTGCCTGTGCAACCTCATTCAACAGCCCTTGCCTGGTCAGGAGCAAGCACAACTGAGGCTCCATCCAGCGATGATCTGCCTTGGCCAGGAGCCCATTGCCTCACTTGGTGCTTCCTTCATTCTTAAAGGTATATCTTCTGTCTTTAAAGTCCAGGTAAATTGTCAAGCATCATTCCAAAGTGATGACAGTCAGGTAACTTGAAGCCCCTGAGTTAACTCTTTGGTAATGAGGATAGCTGTTTTACTACAAATTCATTTATGTGTAGAAATGAGGAGAATACACACATGAAATGATCAGAACCAAGCTTCCATGGGACTGAAGCCTAACTGTCTTTTGTTGACAAGTTCTCATGTACATATGTACGAATATACAACCAGCTTTCAATCTGCTAGTCTACTATTTTTGGTAAAAAATGGCAGAACCAATTTTCCTCCTGAGCAGAAATCTTCCCCTTAGCAACCATAATGACCGTTCTAAAACTTCCTGACTTTGTAGTGAATTCTTGTTTTATCATGAAGAAGGGGTTTGGTTAGCTTTTCCTTTCATTTTCAGTCCTGGTTCTTGACACACTGCTATATGGAGGAGGGTTTGTATTATCCCTGTAGCTGGGCTGTGAAAACACAGGGGCAAGAGTGGAGACACAGAGACATAGCCAGCTACCTTCCGAGTACACCTGTTTCTCTTTATAAAATTATCAGGTATTTTATGTAAGAACAACACAGAGAGTATCATAAATAAAAACATATGACCACCCTTCAACTCATTCCAGAGTTCACAAATGTTGACATTCTGCTATATCAGCTTCAAGTCTTTTTTATAAGGCAACAAAATAATATGCGTACAGAGGGCACCTCTTTTGTATCCCTCTCAGCTCTTGTCTTCTCCTTGCTAAAGACAGCACCATGTAGAATGTGATGGTATCCCCCGAATGGCTTTATATTTTATGTGTATTCATAGGCATATATGGGATGAAAGGCATAACCATAATACCTATCATGTAAGGAACAGAGAAGTAAAACATGAGGTAAGAAATAGTGGACGCTCTTCGGTAATTAAAATTAATAAAGCAGGATTAAATATATCAACAATAAAGAAGAAATAAATTACATAAGAATGCCAAATGTAAATGACATGAACTGTATGGTTTTGTTTATATAAAGCTTTCAAAATACAAAACAATGCAATTGTTTAAGGAACAATAATATTAATTATAGTAAAAATTGTACAGGAGTAATATATATGAAGTTCATGTAGTGGTTCCCCTGAGGAAGGAAAAGAATGAAGAAATTGCAGATACATGATGTAGGTGCTTCCTACATACCGGTATTATTTATTGCAATAAAATATGTAGAAGGAAGATAGTGAAGAGTGTGAATTTTATACTGTTGACTAGCAGATACCAGTACTTCATTGTTATCTCTGAATTTTTTTGGCTTGAATAATCTATAACAAAAATAAATGTACACAGATTCGTTTTTATTATGGATTATTACTTGCAAGGGTTCCAGATATATTTAAAATTTTCTAATGATGTGTACTTTATGTAATTTGAAAATATTTCTCATAGGTTTCCATTATTTTTATTGTAACATATATCTAATTCATTTTATTACTTTATTTTAATTGTTATATATTTCGTCATGTGTCCATTTCAAATGAATATTAACATCCTTAATGTTTCTTTCATTCCTTTTCTACATAATGTAGGTTCCCAGATAGAGTTTCAATGCAGAAACTCTCCCCTGAAATTTGCAGTTAACATCCAGGGACGTTCTCTCTTTCTATTTTCTTTCTTCAACTAGCCTCACTCCATTGTTTTCTTCTGAGGAGTGAAACGTGCCAGGAGATTTCCTCATGGTGGAAAAAAAGGAAATGTCGGTATGAGGGTCCCGTATGCTGAGTGCTGTGCTGGATGCCTTTCTTCCATTCATTTTTCATCTTTGCAACAACCCCATAAGGTTTTATGACTGTTCCCATTATACAAATGAAGACACCAGGATTCCATACAGGTGAATAATTTTCCCCTTCACAGAGGATGTGCTTGTCTGGATTAAATTCAGGGTTTGAATCTAAGTTAATACATCAATAATAAAGACTGTCATAGCCACTTCTGTCTGCTCCAGGTGATGGAGAACCACTGCTTTACATGGACACTCCTGTTAGGACACCTGATTATCTTGTAAGTCAAATAAGTCTGTCTTATTTTGTAATTCTCTGTCTTCCAAGGACCAAAAATTACTGCTATTTTGATCTATTTTTTTAATTTAATTTATTTTTTCTATTGCTTTTCATTCTTTCTCTCACTTACTTGTTTCTTTTAAATGATATGCCATCTATCATCTGAGGAGAATAAGTCCCCTTAGGACAAAACAGAGAATGCCATTTACATTTACAAAGCTTCTCCTAGAATTAATTGTTAATGTAGATGAATAGCATTTCCATGCTGGAGTCTTATGAGCTCCTAGCTTATAAGCAGCATTTTCAAATTTTTGCTCAGGTGCAGAGAATATATTTGGATGGGTGCCGTGCACCTACCACACAATACTTCATGGGTAGAGGTGGAGATTCCTTACAGGGAAGTGAAAAGATTTGGGGCATTGGGATGAAATATTACAATTTTAAAGAGGAATTATGAAATATGATTGTTGCATCAGGAATGCTAATTCTGTTACACAGAGGCATTAAAAATGATTGGTCAAGAGAGTCATCTCAGCCTTCAGATGATCTGAGCTTAGACCTAGTCTGTGCTGTGAACTAACCATGTACTTTGTATCCATGATGTTACCTTATCTTACCTAAGTTTCCCTGTGGATAAATGTAGTGACTGTATACGCTAACTCATTTATAATTTGACAAGCTCTTTGGATGTTTCTGAGGCATACCAAATTGGGGACCAGACTCTACAAGAAAGTTTTATAAGTTCGTTCTAGTCTTTCTGTTTGTTTGAAGGTAAGGAATATTTCTGAAGGAAAGATCATGTCTTATTCTTTGTTTCAATCTCAGCACTTGGCACAAGGTGGGATACAGAGCTGGTGATAAATAAAAAGAAGGATCAGAAAAGGAAGTGGATGGAAGAGGAAGTGTGAAAAATAATGGAGAGAGAAATCAGCGGAGGAAGAGATTAGAATATTCTCATGGGTTCACAATATAGAGGTTTTTTTTTTTCTTTTTATTCAAGCATTGGCTCTTAAGCTTTAGCACATTTCAAATTAATCTGGAGGGCTTGTTAAAACAGGCTGGTGGTCCTTATCCCAGAATTTATGAGCAGTAAGTCAAGTAGTACCAAGACTTTGCCTTTCTAAATAGCTCCCAGTTGATGCTTTTGCTGGCCATCTGGGGACCATTAATTTCATTTTCCTTTCACCCTAACTTTTTCATCAGATTTATCAACAACATGGAACCCAGAAATCACACAGATGTTTCAGAATTCCTTCTCCTGGGATTGACAGATGATCCAGAAATTCAGTCCTTCTTATTCTGCCTGTTCCTGTCCATGTATCTGGTCACCATCTTGGGAAACCTGCTCATCATCCTTACTGTCAGCTCTGACTCCCACCTCCACACCCCAATGTATTTCTTTCTCTCCAATCTATCTTTTACTGATATCTGCATAAGCACAACTACAATTCCAAAGATGCTGCTGAACATACAAGCCCATAATCAGGGCATCACTTATGTAGGTTGCCTCACTCAGATTGGCTTTGTCTTGGTGTTTGGTGGATATGAGAATTTTCTCCTTGTAGCAATGGCCTATGACCGCTATGTGGCCATTTGTCAGCCACTGCTGTACACGGTCATCATGAACCCCCAACTCTGCGGCCTGTTGATTCTACTGTCTCTGTTTCTTAGCACTGTGGTTGCCTTGCTCCATAGTGTGATGGTGTTTCAGCTGTCGTTTTGCAAGGACCTGGAAATCCCTCACTTCTTCTGTGAACTTGCTCAGGTCCTCAAGCTTGCTTGTTCTGATACACTCATCAATAACATCATAATAAATTTTGTGACTGGCCTATTTGGTGGTATTTCTCTCTCTGGGATCATTTTCTCTTATACTCAAATTGTCTCTTCCATTTTGAGAATGCCATCAGCAGAGGGGAAGCTTAAAGCTTTTTCCACCTGTGGTTCTCACTTCTTAGTTGTTTCCTTATTCTATGGGACTGTTTTTGGAGTGTATCTTAGTTCTGCAGTTACTGAATCTTCCAGGAAGACTGCGGTGGCTTCAATGATGTACATTGTTCTTCCCCAAATGATGAATCCCTTCATCTACAGCCTGAGGAACAGGGACATGAAGAGAGCCTTGAGAAAATTTATCAGTGGAATATCTTCTTTTCTGATATTGTTTCATCTACTTAGAGCTAGGGTTTCTAGAATGAAGCAAAGTGATAGGAATCCTAGGTGAGCCATAATGCTTGATTCCTCTGTCACCAAATTCTTCTAAAATGGCTAGATAACATAATGGCCAAGTTAATACTAAGTTAGCTTTGAAACCTTACTTTATTTTTGTTTAGGTCTATGATGTCTGACACATGATTTCAATTCTCTAAACTCAATTTCATTGCTCAGATTCTATAGTGGCAGAGCCTGAGGGAAATTTTCTAGATTTTAGTGATTTTTTTGGATCACTCTCAGAAGAAGGAAAGTTGCAGAAGGTGAACTGGACAGGGACAGTAATGAAGCAAGGCTCATATCTAGAGACTAAATTCCACCTTATCCCATGGTAACGCCATGTCAATTTCATCCTGGAATTAGGCCTATAGTGAAGTAAGGGAACAGACCTTATACACACTTTTTTAGTAATTAATTAGATTGTTCACTGGTAAATCATATCCCTCTGAAGAACATTAGCATCTGCCATAGCTTCATTGTCTATGAAACTTTCCTAATTAGATTATCTCAGTCGTTTGAGATGATTGGGAGATATTTAAACTTCATCAGTGAGAAACCCTTCAATTTTAATAAGAAAAAGAGTCTCCAACTTTAATATGCCCAAACAATGAAGAGAGTTATTTTTCATTAAAAGGATTTCAGAGGTAAAGAAGGTATAGGAACAGGGGAATAGGGATTTATTTAATCCTCCATGTGTTGTTTTGTCCTAGGACTGGCTGTCCCCAGAGTTACCAATTGGTGGCGCCAGATGGAGATGTCATACCAGAAAATAATTCCCAGACAGAACTCTGATCATTCTTCTTTGTGTCAGATAATTATGAATTTCCCATGGAGTCAACCAGAAAATATCTCTGTAGTAGATGAATAGGGGCCCTCAAAATGATTTGTCCATATCCTATTTCCCCTAAATTATTAATAATATATGATTAAATGAGTGAATGTTGCCTAGTTGAAATTAGAGTCTTTGTAGAAGACAAGCTTGTCTTAGATTATCTGAGTAGGCTGTAAATATAATCATATGTATCCTTGTAAGATAGACAGAAGTGGAAATGACACAGAGAAAAGGAAGAAGCAATGTAACCATGGTGACAGTAATTGGATTGATACAGCCAGTATTTGATTTCCAGTATTTGATCATTTTTCCCAGCTTTATTCAGATATGGTCGACATATAAAATTGTATATGATTAAGGTGCACAACATATTGGATTGGTACATTTATATATTGCAGAATGATTTCCTCTATAACATTAGCTAAAACCTCCATACTATCACATAATTGCTATTTCTTTTTAGAGTTGAGAACATTTAAAATCTGATCTCTAAGAAATATTCAAGAGTATGACACAAACTTATTAGCTATAATCATCTTAAATATTAGGTACACAGAACTAAATCTTATAACTGGAAATTTTGTACCCCTTAATCAACATCTTCCTATTTCCTCCACATCCCACCGCATGGTAACCACCACTTTGCTCTCTGCTTGAGTTTGGCTGTTTTAGATTCCACATGTAAATGATTTCACACAGTATTTGTCTTTCTTTGACTTATTTCAGTTAGCAAAATGCTTTCAGTTTCATCCAAGTTGCCACAAATGGCAGGATTTCTTTCTTTCTCATGGCTGAATAATATTCTATTGTATGTATATAGCACTTATTCTTTATCCATTCATGCATTGACAAGCTTGACAGACACTTAGATTGTTTCCAAAACCAGGTTATTGTGAATAATGCTGTAATGAACATGGGAATGCAGATATTTCTACGGGATCCGTATTTCAATTCCTTTCGATATATACACAGATTGCTGGATCACACGGCATATTGTCATAAAGAAACTGTCCAATGCTTCTTCGGTCTTCAATAAAACACAATAAAATTTTCATATAGCTGAAGTTTTAGTTGCTACTATTTTTATGTCTGTTCCAGAATCATACCATTTTAGTTTCTATAGTTCCATAATATCTTGATATTTGATAAGGCAAGTAACTTCATTTTGTTCCTATTTGCCCTCAACTCAAATAACCTTTCTCCATTGCTCTCACATACGAGTTTCAGAACGAGCTTCGCAAATACAATAAAATCCCAGATTTAACTTAAATCTATGAAGCTATTTGAGGAAAACTGACTACTCTATCATATTGTGTATGTCTATCCAAAATTAGATATTCTTTCAATTTTTAGATGTTCTTTAGTGTCTTTCAGTAAAATATGATAGATTTTCCCACCATATGCTTTCATATATTTTCTTAGAATTCTTTCCAGATTCTGGTGTTGTAAGTGCTGATGATGAAACTGTGAATAAAGATAGAGAAATCCTGGTCCTCAGAGAGTGTTCATCCATGAAAAGAGAAGCAGGTGCTATAAAAGAGAGATAAGTGTGGGGGACATTGTGATGTATCACCCCCACCTTTTCAGGAAGAAATTAATTATTACCCATCTTCTAGGAGTGCCACTGACAGCCCTTCAATGTCAGCCTCTTCTGGGGCGACGTCTCAGATGAGAGCCACTGCACCTAAGGCTACTCCTCCTTCCCAGAATAACAGCAAATATAAGAAAAAGTGTAGGTGGATAATGTAAATCAAGTTAGTGTAGCGGTTTCCGCATGGAAGGAAAAAATCAAAATTGTACAAATATGTGATGTGGGGTCATCAATAATACTTATTATTTATTTCAATGAGAATACTTAAGAAAAGGAAGGAGAAGAGTGTGAATTTGATAGGGTTGACTGGTGGGTATCCAGTCCTTCATTATTATTCTCTATGCTTTTTTATATACTTGCATTCATAATAAAAATAAATATACTCAGGTAGGTTAAAATATCTTAAAATTTCACATGCTGTAGACCTTGTATCAAACAATATTTTCTATTCTGGGATTTCATTGCTTGAATTGATCCACGTATCTAATTTATTTTATTACTTAATTCATTTTAGTTGCTTTATGTTCACAACAAATGAGTATTGATATCATTGATCTTTTCTTACTTTTTCTTATATATGATTAAGATCCCCGAAATTTGCGATTATCATGTAAGGGAAGCTCTCTCTTTCTCTCCTCTTTCCTCAAGTTGCCCCGCAATGCTACTTCCCTCCTAGGAGTAAAACGTGCCGGTTGCTATTGTTCATGGCAGAAAAAAAAATCACAATAGAACTGTCACATTGAGGTTCCCATATGCTGAGCACTGTGCTGGCTGCTTTAAGCCCATTCCCTTCTCATCATTGCAAGAAGCTCACAAAGTTTTATGACAGCCCCCAATATACAAACAAGAACACTGAGCTTCTCATACAGTTAAATAGATTTTGCATTCACAAACCAAGTGCTGGTGCCTGCATTCAATTCAGACTGTCTGAGGCAAAGTGTTAACCAAATGGCTGATCCTCTGATGGCCACTTCTGTGTCCCTCAGAGGGAAAACCAGGGCTGCACAGGGACATGCCTGTTAGGATTCCTGGTGCTTGTGTTATCTTACAAGTCTCTGTCTTCCAAAGAACAATAAATTGCTGCTGTTTTTATCTCTCTTATTAGGATACAATCCATTTCATCTTTTCTTCAATTCAGTTTGGACTTTTGTTTCTTTGTTTTTGATCACTTATCACCTTAGGGGAAGAACATACTTAAAGATGAGACAAATTATGTAATTTTATTCTTACATTTCTGATTGTTTAAAGCTGTAGGATATTTCTGAAGAAATAAAACTGCATCTTCTTTATTTCATTCTCAGGACTTGCCTATGTGTTATAAAGTCATTGCTCAATAAAATTTTGGATGATAGAATGAGTAAAGGGAAGAGGAGGAAGGAGATAAAAGGATGGAGGGAGAAATAAGCAGAGAGAAATATTTGAATATTCACTTGGATTCACAATACAGAAGAGCGTTTTTCTAGAGCAGTGGTTCTCAAAGTTTAGTGTAAGAATCCTCTGGAAAGCTTGTTAAAACAAATTGCTGGTCATTAATTCTGGAGCTTTTATCATCAGTGAGTCTGGACTAGGGCCCAAGAATTGGCATTTCGAACAACTTCCCAGGTACTGCTGATGTAGCTTCAGGAACCATACATTTTATTTTCTTGTCACCCAATGTTTTCCATCAGATTCAAAGACAACATGGAACCCAGAAACCAGACAGATATTTCAGAATTCCTTCTCCTGGGATTGACATATGATCTAGAACTGCAGCATCTTATCTTCTACCTGTTCTTGTCCATATACCTGGTCACCATCCTGGGAAGACTGTTCATCATCCTGGCTGTCATCTATGACTCCCACCTCTACACCACATTTATTTCTTTCTCTACAATCGGTCCTTTAATTACTTCTGTTTAAGCACAAGCACAATCCTAAAGATGCTGGTGAAAATCCAAGTACAGAATCAAAGCATCAGTTACATAGGCCACCTCACCCAGCTTTTCTTTGTCCTGGTTTTTGTTGGTTTTGAAAATTGTCTCCTTGCAGCAATGGCCTATGATCACCATGTGGCCATTTGTAACCCCCTGATGCACATAGTCATCATGAACCTCAGCCTCTGTTGACTGTTGATTCTACTCTCTTTGGGCATTAATGTTGTGAATGCCTTTCTCCACAGTCCAATGGCTTTTCAGCTGTCTTTTTGCACTGACTTGGAAATCCTCCACTTCTATCAATTTGCTTGGGTCATCGAGCTTGTCTATTCTGATTACTTCATCAATAGCCTCCTGGATAATTTTATGGATAGTGTTCTGAGTATATTCTCTCTCTGGGAACGTTTACTCTTGTATTCCAAAGATCACTTTTCTTTTGAGAATACCAACAACGGTAGAAAATATAAAGCCTTTTCCACCTGTGAATCTCATCTCTTAGTTGTCACCTTATTATATGGTACAGGATTGGGAGTGTACATTAGTTCTACAGTTATTGTCACTTTCAAGAAGGCTGCAGCGGCTTCAGTGATGTACACTGTGGTTCCTCAAATGGTAAACCCTTCATCTACAGCCTGAGGAACAGGAATATGAAGGGAACCTTGAGATAAGTAATCAGT